GTTTGTTAGTTTAGTTTAAGTTACGTAACGTAACGTAACTAGTAAGTAAGTAAGTAACGTACGTACCGTACGTACGTACGTAGTATATATATAGTAGAGACGAGAGAGAGAGAGAGAGAGAGAGAGAGAGGGGGGGAGAGAAAGAGGGAGAGGGGGGAAGAGAAAGAGAGAAAGAGATTCGATGCTGCTGATCACAAATGTTGCAAATTACGCAAGAACACAAAGAAAACAACAGAACCAACAGCTCCTTACAAATGAGCCCTTTGTGGAAAGGGTAGTCTATTATATAGTATATAATTTCCCGTGTGAGAGAGCTGAACTACATGAGATGAGCCTTTCTCCGTAACGTGTGCATAGTTGCGCGATGGGGTTACGTGCGACGGGTGCCTTCCTGGTTGCAACGAACACCTGCGGTTGACTTCCCGGAGTCATATATTATCAAGAGCTATTATTAGCTCTTGATATGATATTACTCGGCTCGACTTACTGGAATATGAACGAAAGATATATAACGAAATATATATAATTGAATATATAATGAAAGATACCCTACCAGTGCGCATTTTCTGCGAGCAGCCCTACAAGAGTTTGCAGCCGCTGGTAAACAACAGGAATTAAGTGCGCACTGACACAAAAACCGGCGTGATTAGCAGGCGAGGTGGGACACAAATGGTAGTGAGTGACAGTTACATATTAGAATTAATTTCTATCATATATATTCCATTTAGTGACAGTCAAATACAACTTGTTTTTTTCTCAGCCCATCATAGGCATGGAATTATTGACAAACACTAAATGATTTAATGATAGACACTAAATGATTTAGTGTAAGGCACTAAATGATTTAGTGACAGTCACTAAATACCATTTGTGTCCCACCTCGCCTGCCATTTAGTGACAGTCATTAAATCAACCAATCAGATACAACTTATTTTTTCTCAGCCAATCATAGGCATGGAATCATTGACAAACACTAAATGATTTAATGATAGACACTAAATGATTTAGTGTAAGACACTAAATGATTTAGTGACGGTCACTAAATACCATTTGTGTCCCACCTCGCCTGCCATAGGCGTGCACCGGCGGTTTGACAACGACGGACACTTTTTTTGGCGTTGCTGTTTTATGGACGTGTCCGATTCTCATGTCGTCATGTAGCATATCATGATCGTACGTGTACGACGACAAACCCGTATATGGTAAAGGTGTTTCCTCTGCAGCAGCTAATTGCCAGCGGTGTGACGTCAGACGCACAGGTAGCTATCCGATGCTACTGAACTGGCAGCCTGTTCTGCTAGGTTCTATGACAAATACGACATACGCATATACGCTCTCCTATGACACTATTTGTCATAGGAAGATTCTTCCTATGACAAATATTGTTGTATGTGTTGTACGCATCATGGGAGTTTAGGAGCGCTACTATGAACGCAAGCAGTGAATTGCAGCTGTAAAGCGGAACGAAGTTGACTCGCCAATATTTGTCATAAGAAGAATCTTTCTATGATAAATATTGTCATAGGAGAGCGTATATACATATGTCGTATATGTCATAGATACAAGCAGAACATGTTGGAACTTGCCAATAGTCGACGCATGACATCAACTCGTTACGTGTCGAATTCTGTCAGAAATAGAAATGGCGCGGAAACCATCACTGACGGATCGGATGGTCGGCTGCTGGTGATGCGGTGACCAGACAACATTAAAGCAGTGAAAACTTTATGCACGTATTAAGTTCAACGTTCCTTATATATATAAAATAATTTCACTCTTGCTCGCGCTTCAACCATTCCCTACACTCGCCATGTCGATCTCTCTCTCTCTCTCTCTCTCTCTCTCTCTCTCTCTCTCTCTCTCTCTCTCTTTCT